TATGCCCTACTTTCTCCAGATTGTAATGTAACTGAGAAGATTACTTTGTAACCCATACAACAGCGATACACTAAACGACGTACATGTACTGCAAAGTAAAAGTAGATTTCACAGTATTGAAGCGAATAATGTAACGAGATAATTTGTAGATAAATGTGTCTATAACGAAGTGTTTAGTAAATGGATATATTGTAGCTCACACCCAATATGTTGTTGTCGGGGTCGAAATAAAGATATTCAACTCCTTTTCCATGAAGTGTAGTGATTTATTTCTTAAGACGGACACATTTGTGTTTATTTGCGAAATGATCCGAGAAATGTCTCTTGAAGGATTAGTGGACATGGGTGTCCCATTTGTCTAAGGCTTTGCAAATCGCTTTACGGAGTTGCGTCCCCTAGGTGTGTCAGAAACCCTTGTTCGTGGGTTCGAATCCCGGTTCGCCTTGAATGTGTTTCTAGGTTTGTCATTCATGGGCATCATCGAAATGGTAAACGACCAGTGAGTGAGTAAGGTTTAACGACGCTTTTAGCAATATTCCAGCAATATCACACATTGTATCCATATCGGGAATCGAACCCGGGTTTTCAGCGTGACGAGCGAACACTTTAACCACTAGACCCGATCGCCCCGGTAAACGACTAAGACCTTCATAACTATTGGTCTTCCGCCATCGTCAAGCCGACACGACGATGTTTGCTGATAAAAACTGGAACCTTTCATCATACCTACTTCTTTTAGAGGAATTGTAAATAGGTCAGAGTATTTTCAATGATTCCGAGTTGACTAGAACATGTCTTAACCATGACATAAACAAGTACATTAACAAGAAATAGAGTTGAAGGCAAGAAATACCAATCCACTATACTGACATAAAAGAACGTATGAGGGTATTAGGCATAATGTGAAAACACACACACACACATTTGTTAAAGAATAATATTAAATGTCACATTTGCCCTTTACAAACGCACTACTGTAAATGAATCATGAGTAGGTAATAGCAGTTACAACAGAAAAAGGTACCTCATACTCGTACCTTACACATATTGTCTAAATAGACACTTACGAATACTGATTTTACGAAACGAGTGACAGAATTGTTGTATTTCCCGAGCGAGAACGAGGGTAATACATGTATTCTTACACAATTTTCGTAAAATCCGTATGAGACACAGGCGAGTGTTATCATTTCTTTATTACCCATTATTTCTTACTCCTTCTCAGCCTCCCTTCAGAAAATAAAATGCACAGACCACGACAAGATAATTAGCCTGATTATCCACTGGCGTTGTCGTTTCATATTTACTGTGTCAGATGAATAATATATCTTTCTTTGTAATCTGAATAAGTAAATAGTATCGACAGAGCTATAACAAATTCATCTATTTTGAAAACGAATCAAAGTGCTTCTTGGCTGCCGAGGTGACACCAGGTCCATAAACATCAACCTAGATCTGTTCCCCAGCGTCTAGACATTGTCTGCTGTGACACCCTTGCTGGCAAGCTCGTCACGAACTCGAGTCAGATATGTGGGATCTGGATAGCCAAATCTGAAACAAAGTACAGGTGAAACCTTTTCGACTCTTTATCAATTATCAACAGTGAGTGAGTGAGTTAAGTGTAACGTCACGGCAATATTTCGGTCCTATCGTGACGATACAAATTTTGACATTAATAATATATGTATAAAATTCTGTCGTCGAGAGGACAGCATAATAAGTAGAACATCAGAGATTCACGTAAAACGTCGAGGATAAGACAACTAACAATATCGGTTATTCAATATAATCTACAAATTATAAAAAAAGTTTTTAATTATATACAAAACATATCAATAAAAATGTATCGATCAATTGAATTTCCTTTAAAAAACAAGAATTAAATGAGAATTTATGTTAAAAGGATCCTTGATGGATGAAACATTGAAATACTTATGCCTTGTGATGGAAAATCAATACAAAAAGTATCAATAACAAGTAAAAACCAGGTGTAAAACAATAAGAGCAAGGACCGCAACCTGATTGGTTCAAGAAGCATTGTTGAATGCTAATTAAAGACCTGACATTTTCTGACCCGTTTATGTCCTGGAAACATTATTATCATGTTTATGTTATTGAAAAGCGTGAATATTGTTTTATCAGAAAAAAACATCGGCCTTGTCGAATTTTTACTGTTTCATATTGTTTGTTTGTTGTTTAACGCCGCACTCAGCAATATTCCATCTCTATGACGGCCGTCTATAATTAATCGAGTCTGGACTAGTTTAATATTGGAATATCTAGGATTCAAATACTCAGTATCACTCACAAATTTGAAAATATGATTATGGAAAGGTTTTTTTCGATTGTATTTCTATATCAGAAATTATTAGTATTGCTTAATCTAAAAATAGATCAATGACATGCAGAGCATTAACTACCTTGTCGGCCCACCATCCATGTTTGTTTTATGATGAATGTCGTTCCATGTAACGACATTTTCCCGACCGGTTGTTGTAGAACGTCCGACGGTAAAGGTCAACTTCCTGTCAAAAGCGATCCTGAGAAGTCGTAGAATGTCCTTTCCTTCCGGGCAGGCTGGGAGGTATGCCCGTCGTGTGATTCCCTTGAAGGCCATACCAGGGTCAGGTTGTCCTGTCTGGATAGCAAAATGTGTAACATACCCTTTTATCATCGATGTTCGCTTATTACTACACATATATGAGTTAGTTTTTTGTTTGATTGTTTGTTTGTTGTTTAACTCCGCAATATTCCAGCTATATTACGAAAGCCGGTAAATAATCGAGTTTGGACCAGACAATCCAGTGATTGTCACCATGAGCATCGATGTACACAAATGGTATACGATGACATGCATCAACCAGTCAGCAAGACTCCGTGATAAAGCTATAATACAGTAAACTACGGTTATAACGAACACGCTTATAACGAACTGACCGATATAACGAACCTACTTGTTAGCCCCGGCCATGTGGTGCATATATGCTGTATATATGCTTATTACGAACTACGGTTATTACGAACTAATATGGGTGGTCCCTTTGAGTTCGTTATAACCGTAGTTTAGTGTATTACAAAAAGCGGAGGAAAACCATACGTTCTCACCCGATCCCGTTAGTCGCCTCTTAAAGCGAGCATGGTGTCGCTGTAGACGAATTCTAACCCGGGTCTTCACGAGATTCATTATAGTAATTACAGTAATTATTACTTTGTTATGTGACATAAACATGAAGGATACGCGGTCAATGAACTGAACCCACTTATGAATCTACTTGCAAGGTTTAAACGTAATCTAAATTGAAGCATGACGCTGTATATCTACTAATCCTAAACTGATGTGCAGGGATAAATATGGGGATGTAATTCGTCCAAGGAATTGAGAGTAGATTTACCGTTTGTATACCACTCGGGATGTCATAGTTGATTTGGATGCTCCCCCAGTCTTCATAGCCGGAAAGGGGAGTGCTGTTGTAGACAACTTTCATCGTCCCGTCTGGCTGGTTACCTTTGATAACCCCATACACCATGTTGCATGTGGGGCAAACAGGCTTGTGCTCTCTGAAACTGCGATCTATGCACGATTTACAGAAGATGTGATAACATTTGTCCAGTTGTTTTAGATCAATGATGACCCCCAAACATATTGCACAAGTTAACATATTCTCGGAGTCACTGATACTTCGACTGTCATCCTCTGTGGTGCTGCTAGGGACAGTGTCAGCATCACTACTTGCTTGCATCTCAGTGACCCTCATTTCTTCATCAGTAGTGTTCTCCCAGACAGAATTGTCTTCTTGGAAATTTCGGAACATTCCCTCCCTGTAACTTGCTTTTCTTGCAGAATGACCTTGGTTGCCATACTGACCATATCTTCGCGGCCTGTGATCCCGTTTGGTTGAATTACGGCGCTTGGTTTCGGCTTCTAATGACTCTGCTATAGCCCTGTCGATGTTTTCACGTTCCCTTAAACTAAGGCTCTCGTTTTTGGTCATCGAGGAAGCTTTGGGGTGGCCTTGCTTTTTCGACTGGGATACCGGTTTATCTCGGTCATGCCTTGTACTGTTTCTTCGCGGCCTCTCATGAATTCTGTCTGGAGGGGCAACCTCGAATGCATCCTTAACAGTTGATACGAAACGGAACAAAATGCCTTTGGTTGACTCTTCATGCAATTCATGCTTCCACTGTGTAACCATTTTGTCTGCTCTATCAAAACTTGATGCAAAGAAAATGATCTCCCTGCGCTTGCTTGGTTTGTATTTAACAGAGGATCTTGCGGCTGCAATTATCGCCGAGTCTTCTCTTTTGACCACACCTGAGAAAATGTAGGTGCTTTGAAGTTACTTTGAATTAAAAGGAGACAACTGTCCAAACACCTACATGTATCTGTACTATAAAGTGTTTGTTTGTATGTTTAACGCCGCACTAAGCAATATTCCAGCTATATGACGGCGGTCTGTAAATATTCCAGTCTGGATCCAGTAATTGGCATTATGAGCATCGATCCACGCAATTTGGATACGATGACATGCATCAACCAAGTCAGCGAGCCTGACCTCCCGATCCCGTTAGTCGCCTCTAACGACAAGCATAGTCGCCTTTTATGGCAAGTATAGGTTGCTGAAGACCTGTCTATCCCGGATTCTATCGGGTATACTATTATGGGATAAATATGCGTCGTACTGTTGAGAAAAGAGAAATTGCCTGACACAAAAGTTGCACTTTTGTTATGTGCCTTTCTTAAAAGAACATCCAGGCTCCTAGTTTTAAATAGCTAGAAACAATATCGATATCCCCCGAACCGAAAATCAAATGCCTCAAAGCATGTTTGAGGCAGTACGATTCACTAGCAAACAGTGATGATATCACTGGTGGCACCCGTAGCAAACACATGCAAAGCGAATCAACAAACATGATTTACCAGAACAAACTTATTCTAATAATTCATTTTCTTTGTTAAAACTGTCTCACGTGATTACATAGAATAAGAAACGTTTTCTTACCTGCGCCTAACAACGGTATAGCCAACGTTGCAATATCCAAGTTTTCAACAGTTTTGAAGATGTCTTTGTACAGATATTTCATACCCTTCATCCATTCATCACCGTCCATGCGTTCGAGAAATGCAAACAGAACATATGTAAATGGCATTCCAAGAAACGCCGGATATACAGTCCATAAGTCATTAGATAAACGACCTTGTCTGAGTTTATTTCTCAAATGTTCAAAGGCTTTGGACTTCTGGATTAGTGCTTTGGTCACTGAACTCTCAACAAGAAAGTCTTGGTTTTCGCCCGTCACCACGGCGGTAGCGTGAGCCAGGGTTATGTCCCCGTGAAGAAAGGTAACACGTAACCCAGAGGGATAATGAAGTGATTCCACACGCCCTATTTTTGAACTGGTCATACTTCCTCTTGAAAAGATTGTTCTGAAGAAAAGAAACAAATATTTGACTCAAGTTGGATCATTTTTCACACCACCTTAAACATAACACAATAGTACAGTCTGTAAAGCACCCAGCGAGGAGCGGTAGTCAGTTTGCCTGCCTATTGCTGGCTTTTAGTATCACCCGAGGGCGACTTATTTGATCAGCCTGGTACCTTCGTTGACAGCCTGTTTATGTAATCCGGCGGCGTTTAACGTTGTTCATAATATCCATCACTGGATTGGCTGGTCCATGCTCGATAGGTTACAGGCCGCACTCATATAACTGAAATATTGCCCCATTAAACAAACACACAACCCCAAGCTCACACACAAAAACTGGTTGAGTAGTGGGTTAAATTCGAGCTAACACATTTCCGAGAATAGTAGGCTCGAGACAAATATTATCGGCAGCGATAGTGGAATATTTCCTCTATATTTATATCATTTGCAGATTGGTTTCTAATAACATTTCATCAGATATATCGCCGCGAATAGCTGCAAAATTGCTGATGCGGCGTTAAGCAATATTCACTCACTCACTCACTCACTCATCAGATATAACGCTGCATAACTGATGTATATGCCTTAACCTACCTCGTTAATATATTTATGTATTTGCACTGACAGCATATTATAAGAGAATTTTGTTTAAGCTCAGTGGAACTGAAAACGAAAGTAGAATATACGAAACGCACAACAGTTAAAAGCGAATAGGGATATACATTACAAACATCAGTTCAAGACACCTTGTCACATGCAATTGTGTGACTACGATGAACATACTTCCCTTTTAATCACTATATACGGTATATGAAATCCCGTGACGGCGGCCATGTTGTCATCGTGTACATTCTAAACATTCTCTTTGAAATATGTTTATATTATTGTAGTGATCAGCGGTGAAAGATATTTATTAGTAAGTTTATCCAAACATAATTCAGTTGGTGAGTGGTGAACACTTACCTCACAAAGCTGTACTTGGACGTGGCGTCAACACTGAGTGGTATTGATCGTCCTGATTACAAACCGAAAATAGGAGGGTTACGATTCGCCAAGTCATAACATAGCAGGTCACACTGACATGATTGTTAACATGTCATTGTGTGGTGTGCAGTTGATAAACGCGATGACAGATAATTACGGACATACGTGTAGAACGCATGTAAACCGTCAAATTTTGTTTCATGAATTGTTTATTTCGGTTGGTTCTGACAACATTATAAGTAGGAGAGTAGTTTACATTGATTGTGTCAAGAGATGAATAAACTGTCTGTTTGGGTACATGTGCTACGATGAAAGAGTCTACCTATCCTGCATTCCATTTATCTAATCAGACAATTAAACAAATATATTTCACACATGACAATTTTATCTGATTCTTTTTGTGAAATCATTGAATGAATTTTGGGACACAATGCAGTCAGAATCGCTGAGGGTGTATTTTGATCTTCTGCAGCCAGCGAGTAGAAATCCTCCACCTTTAATACATTACAATTGTGTGGTCGAACTAAACGGTCTGTGTAAAGTCATTGTGTTACAAGGTCATGCTATTCAAATTGTCAGGAGTATTTACCTATCAATTTATCATGAAGTGTGCAAAGATCAGAGAAAATTAATACTAGTATATATAAAGGGAGGTAATTCCTACATTGTACTGTGTAGGCAATGTGTCAGATGAGTGGTGGAAGGGAGATAATTTGTGAGTTCCACTGTGTAACCAATATGCGGTTAGTAGCTAGTAATCATTATATTTCAGGGAACAATTACACAACCCTCACTCCCAGGGAACAATTACACAACCCTCACTCCAAGGGAACAATTACGCAACCCCAACTCCCAGGGAACAATTACACAACCCTCACTCCCAGGGAACAATTACGCAACCTCCACTCCCAGTGAACAATTACACAACCCTCACTCCCTGGGAAAAATTACACAACACTCACTCCCAGGGAACAATTACACAACCCTCACTCCCAGGGAACAATTACACAACCCTCACTCCCAGGGAACAATTACACAACACTCACTCCCAGGGAACAATTACACAACCCTCACTCCCAGGGAACAATTACACAACCCTCACTCCCAGGGAACAATTACACAACACTCACTCCCAGGGAACAATTACACAACCCTCACTCCCAGGGAACAATTACGCAACCCCCACTCCCAGGGAACAATTACACAACCCTCACTCCCAGGGAACAATTACACAACCCTCACTCCCAGGGAACAATTACGCAACCTCCACTACCAGGGAACAATTACGCAACCCCAACTCCCAGGGAACAATTACGCAGCCCCAACTCCCAGGGAACAATTACGCAGCCCCCACTCCCAGGGAACAATTACGCAACCTCCACTCCCAGGGAACAATTACGCAACCCCAACTCCCAGGGAACAATTACGCAACCCTCACTCCCAGGGAACAATTACGCAACCCTCACTCCCAGGGACCAAGGGAAGAATTACGCAACCCGAACTCCCAGGGAACAATTACACAACCCTCACTCCCAGGGAACAATTACGTGACCTCTGCTCCCAGGGAACAATTACGCAACCCCAACTCCCAGGGAACAATTACGCAACCTCCACTCCAAGGGAACAATTACGCAACCACCACTCCCAGGGAACAATTACGCAACCTCCACTCCCAGGGACCCAGGGAAGAATTACACAACCCCCACTCCCAGGGGACAATTACGCAACCTCTGCTCCCAGGGAACAATTACGCAACCCCAACTCCCAGGGAACAATTACGCAACCTCCACTCCAAGGGAACAATTACGCAACCACCACTCCCAGGGAACAATTACGTGACCTCTGCTCCCAGGGAACAATTACGCAACCCCGGAAGAATCCCGGAAAAACGCTTTTTGACTTTAGATATATCTTGCATCTAAAAGTATACTCAAGACACAGTTAAATGTGTTCAATCAAACAGTATAATTCCGGATGTCCAGATGTGCTTTAAATTGCATCTGGAATACATATAATATATGAGGAAATATATGTGAACCATTAAGCAACGAGTTGTCAATTGTTTTAGGTATGCCCGTTTGCGCTAAGACGGAACCCGGTCGCAAAAATGGTCACGAGAGGGGCACGAGTCGCTATTCGGCTTGTTCCGTAATAACACGAATTGGTCACGAATGGGTGACACCACTGATTTTCAGTGATCGATTCATATAATTTTCACCGCAATTTTACCTTTTACGCCCAATGGAATCTGTTTCGGCCGATAATCGAGCTGTTAATTTAATGGTTAAATTTATGAAAAATATGGTTGTTGAAATAGTCGTTTCTCATTTTCAGGTGTAATATTTGTAACTATAATTTCTAGACAACACTTCTCTGGTATCATTAATTTAAAATCATTCATAACAATACAAGAGTTTCCCCTTTACTGTAGACACAGCTTCAATGGGCGAACATGGTGTCTGCGGTCAATAATAGGGGTGATGTCATAAGGTTCCCTTTGGCCGAGAACCTCAAATTCCATATCTTAGGTATGGAATCCTAGATGGGACACTCCTTTGCTTATGTTTTGTACTGAAGACAACGAGACATTGCGACAACGCGACAAATTCCCTTTTAGTTTTCTACAATTAGGCAATTGGTCAACCGACTACGTACAAAACAGCTAAAACAGCTAGGAATAGAGGTTGGTTGGTTGGTTTGTTGTTTAACGCCGCACTCAGCAATATTCCAGCTATATGACGGCGGTCTGTAAATAATCGAATCTGGACCAGACAATCCAGTGATTAATAGCATGAGCATCGATCCACGCAATTGGGATACGATGACATGCATCAACCAAGTCAGAGAGCCTGACAATCCGATCCCGTTAGTCGCCTGGAATAGAAGAGAATCAGACTTGAATCGCGGGTCATCACGTGCACATTCAGCTAAACTGGTCCAAGGGAGGTAATAACTACAGAATGTTCCATATTCAGGCGATATGAATAGGTTGAGTGGATGGAGCGTAATAGGCTGTTTATAACGACATGTACCTTAATTAGGTTCGTTGTTTCTAGATCAGAGGGTTTGATGACTATAAGTTCGAATTTACGAGTCGCCTCTGTCGTGATCGTTGGTCTGTCAGCCCAATACTATTGTCGTGTATTTTACCTTTCATAAATCCGACGGTAAAGATAGCACGGAATATGTTCACTTCATCCTCCCCTTGAGACCACCATAATATCCAACCCTCTGTGGTATACCATCATACCGTAATGCAGGCCCTTTATTCAGTATCATATTTGGCAATTAATCCAATGAATACAAAGTATACACTTAGGTATACACAAAGGTTAAAATATGACAATACTTTCCTTGCGTCTGTGTTCCGAGAAACCTTACAGTATGTTACCACTAGACATTTCTCATTAACTGTATGAAGCTGCATCAATGCATTAACTTTAGATTGCAGAGAAATATGTTTGAATGTGTGAATAAATCGCGAATAACTCTTATGGCATAGTGTTACATATTAAAAATGTTTCATATAGACTGTCACTACACAATACAATCAGAACATAGTATTTTATTTGTATCCCATGACCCAAAACAGTTTAACATACTCGAGTGTAACAGTCCATAATATATATATATATATATATTTTTAATATTTATATATATTTTCATTCATTCGTAAAACAGTAAAAGAGAAGACTTCATTCACGCTATTTTATAAATGTTACACACAGTATTTTATTGGTATCCCATGACCCAAAACAGTTTAACATACTCGAGTGTAACAGTCCATAATATATATATATATATTTTTTAAATATTTATATATACTTTCATGCATTCGTAAAACAGTAAACGAGAACACTTCATTCACGCTATTTTATAAATGTTAAGTTTAAATATTCTTTGATGTTCAACGATTTAAGACAATAGATTTGTTTTCTAAAAGACAAATGTAAACTTCCATCAGGTCTAACCGTTGAAACGTTCATGATAAGTTTAAGTGCTAGCACGTGCTGGTTCCCACACTTTGAGCCAACTATTACCACTCCTACGCGACGAATTACCCTTTGACAATTAGAACAGTTGGGAGCAGTAATCTATTCATTTTAAAGAAACGACAATCGAGCATCTTCTGATCTTTCATTCAGAACGGTGTTACGTTTTGACAACTGCTAAACCAAATGGTCTTAAGACTGAAACGAATTTGTACGCTAATGACAGTAAATATATCTGTACACAACATGTCTTTGTTCCTAACGCACGTACGCACATAAACACATACAGCTGTTTGGAGAACATTTATATATCAGATTATTGGACAATCCAATTTAAGAATGAGGCTATAGATCGCCAGCTACCAAAGTTAGGCTAGAATACTGCGGTCCCCAGAAGGATTTACAACATCCGCGGCCGCCTCCAGCTTCTGCGGATTGACAAATGACAGAAACTAAGTGCGGAATTGTGTCTTCAAAACTTTAAGAGTGAACATTGAGCAGTAATTAGAGGATAGAAACATAATATCATTGCAATCTGACCCTGGACACTAGTTTTTCAGGAAATATTGTCCGTATGCACTGTCCAGGGATATTGCGAACTAGTATTAACCTTTATAATTATAATAAGGTGTAGAACGCTAGCATAGTGCAACAATAGTCTATAAGATTTTGAATTGAAGATTTATTGATTCCATACATTTAACTATTGGCATAATACAGTTTAGAGAGTACCGAGGACTCACTGACTGAGTGAGTGAGTATGGATTGACGCCGCTTTTCGCAATATTCCAGCAATAACACGGCGGGAGACACCAGAAATGGGCTTCACACATTGTACTCATGTCGGGAATCGAACCCGGGTCTTCGGCGTGACGAGCGAACGCTTTTTAACCACTAGGCTACCCGACCGCCAACCGAGGACTGAACAAGAATCTTCTCTGAACTTGTGGTGAAGAGATGACGTACGTTTATTTGTTCAATGCACCCGAGGCGGTAATGGCAGGACGTCCTCAAATTACCAACCTGTACTTCTATTGAAAAATGTGAATCAACAACCGACCTAAACCGTTCACTGTTGCTGAAAATGGAATGGTTGCGTTGCCAACTGTGACACGTTCATGACTTGTCCCCTGTAGCTGATGTTTTGTGCCAACTAACACTGCCTTAGTTTTGTCATCGTTCAGCTTCAGTGTGCTTCCGTCATGGAAGTCGTGATTTGTGTCGTGCAGTCAGTGGTTCTGTGCAGACAGCTATTTCTGTTGGTTAAAATCCATCGATGATTTGTGTATCATACTGCAAATGTTCCACGTCATGCTGTTATGTTATATCCCCAATCTTTGTTGTGTATTAACACCAATAATATCGGTCCCAAAACCGATCCTTGTGGAACTCCACACTCTTATGCCTTCCATCTAAATAGGACCTTATGAGCTCCAAAGCAACAACCCCTATCTCCATATCAGTAGACAATCTATTGAGAATATTACATGATCCACTGTGTCGAATGCTGCCGACAAGTTAAGGAGGATTAGAGTAGCCATATTTTCTCTATCAGCAAGACTCCTCAGCTTATTAACAACTCGTAACAGTGCTATTTCCTTACTGTGTTTTCCCCAATATACCGTTTAGAGGTCGTCCAAAAGACCATTTGAAGCCAAATTTTCTTGAAGTCTCATATTAGTAGCTTTCTCACCTTTGAGAGATAGCTCACATCAGAAACTGGTCTCCATTTTTTTGTATATCTGTGTCACTAACTTTCTTTTTCAAAAGAGGGCAGGTAACCTGATTTTGGTTTGTTTAACGCCGCACTCGGCAATATTCCTGCCATATGACAGCGGTCTGTTAATAATCGAGTCTGGACCAGATCTAGACAATCCAGTGATTGAATTTACATCATGAGAATCGATCCATGCAATTGGAATACGATGACATTCATCAACAAAGCATTACCACCCGATCCCATTAGTCGCCTTTTATGTCATGGGTTGCTGAAGACCTATTCTAACAGGGATATTCACGGGCTGGATGGAGCTTTGACATATATGTTGTATACGTATTATATACGTATGGTCTTATCCACTCTCCTAGCCAGAGTTCCGTTCCGCGCACAGCCTAGTACCTCTGCCACAGGCCAGCGACTTGCAAGTATTCGCCACAACTTACACAATCCATTCAACAAATTTAAAATGTTTTGCACCGAAAAGCTTGCATATTGCCACTCTGTTTTTATTTCAGAATAAGCGCGTTTGCTTACAAACAAGAGAAAATCCGGTCACATGATATGCAAATTAACCTGTGGCAGTTTTGTAATGCTAAGTCAGTACCAGCAGTGGAGAAGAGTCCTTTACTGTATCTCAACAGCAGATGGCAGAGAGAGAGAGAGTCTGGCGCCGTCGTGGGGAACGTTATTCGGATGCTTGTGTTGTTGAGAGAGACTCGTGAGGTGGTCCGAGCATCATGATGTGGGATGGAATTGGTCTTGCACGAGGGTCGGCCCTGTGGTCTTCCAGAACATCGGTCCAGGGAGAGGCAATGGTGTCACAGCAGCTCAGTACATTGATCAAGTCTTGAGACCACACGCCATACTTCATTTGGCACATCGCCACAACCACGAGTTTCAGCATGATAACGCCCGTGCCTACACTGAGAGAGCAACAAGAGACTTCCTCCAGCAGAATGGCATCAGAACCATGCAGTGGCCTGCCCTCAGTACCGATTTCAATAACATTGAGCACCTGTGGGACGAGATTCAAAGACGGCTCAATGACGTTCGACCAAGGCCGACAACTGCAACTGAAATGCGTCAGGCGTTCAACAGAGTGTGGGCTCAAGTGCCTATGGCCTTTATCAACCGCCTCATCCATTCCAAGTATCGACGTCGCACGGCATTCATCAATGTACATAGCGGACACACGAGATACGACTTGTGATGACATTTTCTCAGGCTAGTGTTGTGTTTCACTTCAAGAACAGTTGACACTATAATTTCAACCTTGATGATCAGTTTTGCCAAGTTTCATCTGTTTAACATGTCTCAAAGTATGTTTACAGTGTTTGGACAAATAAGGTTACTCATATATCTATCTATGGTGACGTTTCTTTTGCGGTTCAGTATATATAAGTTAATGCATCCTAAACTCCACTTTACCTCACCTTTATCAGACACTGTCAGATCTACCATAAATAATAAGCTATATACCTTATTATCCGATCTGAATCTCACTTACAATGCAATTGTTTACTTTGCCGTCTTAAACTGGTTAAATTTGTTAAATCTAGGGTGTTCGAGTTTATTTGTACATATTGGACTATGCGAACACATTTCAGACATTTAAGTGTCGAGCTCATATCTGAGATCCGCCTATTGGGTGTTATATGCCACACTTGGCATTATTGCAGCTCTATGACAACAGTGTTCCTGGACCAGAAAAAAACAGATTTATAGTATTATGTCCGTGTACGATGACGCGGCGTAATCCAATCACCGAGTGTGACCGATGAAATTTAATCACCGTTTGTTACAATACTGCTATGGACTTTTTCGAACCCGGGATCATATGGAGTCTTCACTCCAGCTCGGTGTTGAAAACTGTATGTCTTGAAGGGCGGCCGATAAAATATTCTGTCCCCAGATTGCATAATAGTTAATTTTCACGAAGTTCATATTCTAAGTGCTCGCACGTGCTAGTTTTCACAAGATATGCATCTTTTTACGAAATAACCAAGCCTAAGCGACCGATAAACATGTTGACAAGTACAGAACAGCTGTGAACAGAGAGCACAGTTTCCAAAGCGCTCTCATTATCGTGGTAGAATGAATATAAACCTACTGTATAATTTGAGGTAGTCTAACTGTAGATGAGACACCGAAAGCTCTCGGTTGAAAATTGAAATAAGATGTATCTAATCTAGAGTTAGGCTACCTTAGATTTCAAAACACAGTAGGTTTATCTTCTAGGTCAATTGTTTAAAATAAATAACAAAATAACAATTTCCCAGACAGCTTATTTATTCATTAACACAAAGCATGTGGCCAACAATCAGTTACATCGTTCAGCGAAATAATGCAACCCAAGCCCCTCTCTCCCTTTTATCATCCAATTAAGAAACAGTCATCTGCTAATACACGTGATCTACCTTTTTTTTTACGGTTTATGTAGACATAAACGCAAAATATTGCTTCGTTAGCCAATCAAATTCAATGGAATCTCTTCCAAATCAATCTCTTTCAAGTGTGCCTTAAACGTTGGTAATATTTGCAAAAAAATGAAAACATTGAGATTACATAACATTGCACACACAAGCATTTTGTGTCTCAAATGATTGAGAATGAATAATATTCTTTGTATTACACATTACACATAAATCCAAATCTCCAACATAAATGTCACATTACATGTCACATACAGAAGACTTTGTGCCGAAATCGATAAACTGATTGATTTATTTTCTATCAAATTTCTTCTTCTTCCTATTACCAAGTATTATTAGCTTCTAACTTGATATCAAAAGCAAGTTCGAAAAATTTGATCACTTTGCAAGTCACATACAGAAGAATGTGTGCTGTGATTGATTTATTAATCAAGACTAATTTATCTTACTTGCCTTAAAATTTGGTTATAAGTGCAAAATTGCAGCATTAGAGTATTACATGAAATCCAGTATTAAGCGTTCTTCTTTATTTTGCGTAATCGGTACTCCCAGCTACAGATGTGTGCTGAGGCATCCGCTTTGGCATTCTGGAGCAAAGTCCATGAGTGGACAGAAGCTGACGTCACATGCGACGTACAAGTTGTCATGGTGATGGGGCATTTCAAAGACGTCAAAGTAGAAACGGGTCAACTTGTAAACATGTCCAACGATGTGTGTGAAATGGTTGGCTTCACACCTGTATCAACATACAATGGACTATAATTATATGTGACATTCTCTATTGCGGAAGAACAGATGAGCGATCGTGGAACATACTCATATGTATGTCGTTTGGTTTATTTTAACGTTATTTAAACGTTAAACCGTGTCCACAATCAATATCCGTTAAGATGTTTGATGCATATTGTTACCTGTTGTGTATAATGGTCACTCGAGTAGAGTTTCCATTCGGGATGTCCGTACTGATGTAGCAGTTATCCACCAGCAGTTTGACATCGGCAGGAACACTGGTCTGTACCTGTACGTAGACACGTGTCCCAAGATCGACCTTGAGTGGATTCCCTTTCACCTCGTTTGTGTAGGTGTCATCTGTATAAAACTTCATGACAGCCTCGTGACCTTGAATCTTGCTTGTTGCCTGAACGGTGATTTCGGCATGGTCAACGGGAAGGAAAGGCTTGACATCAATTTCGTGTTTTTGAAGGACACATGCCAGGTTGTAGCGCCACAGTGCGCCGCTCGCTAGATTTGTCTGTGCGTCCCTCTCATATTCAATCAGATAGTTGCTGAATGTCACTGTGTTGTTGTTGCTTGTCTGAAACACATGATCGCGTGATGAAGCTAAAACATTCTAAACAATGTGTATCTTGGTACGAACATAATCTATCAAACATATCTCGGGGAAGAATTTGGCATGAGCTTGTTTTAGAGGTTCGATCATATACCTGCTTTTTTTCCCAATTTGCGGTTGGGTTTTATCCAAATTCGTAAGTTCTAAAATGAATACATTGTATGTTTATCCTTCAGCTTCATTCAACCAATGACAAAATAAATTAACGTTGGTTGAAGCAAGGGTGGTGAGGGATATGACAACGCTTCACAGTATGTTGAATTTGGATATTTAATCATTTACTGATGAGAGAGAATGTGTATTAGCTATGTACTTGCCCCCTAGCTTGGCACTACTTCTGTGCGGTGTCAGGCAACAGGCGCCTACTGTTTCATGCAAATTGTGTGAGTGGCTACGGCGAGGCAGGACATACTTTCCCTTTTCGGGAACACCTGGCGTCATCACTGATTTTCAGTAATCCATTTATACACCTTTGCCAGCTATTTTGCCTTTAATGCCCACGGAATGTGTTTTTTTGGCAATTCGCTACTGGTTATTCTATTATCCCATTTAATATTTTCACCACTGCAGACACGACCCCCAGGAATGAGATTGTCTCTGGACAATGTACTCTGCCAAGGCAAAAACACTGGACAGAACGAGAAAACTACAATACCGGGATGATTGTCATGGCGGTTGTGACCAATGAATTGTTGGATGCAGGCTCTCTTACATTGTTTCTGTAATGTCATAACTCAATTTGAATCCTACATTATACATACCAAATGAGTTTATACGAGTATTTATAAAAAGCTATGTCTTTGGTGACCTAGCTGTTGAGAAACTGGCGTTTGTGATACTATACTTACAATGTAACCAAAGATAATTCATTATTATGTGTCAGATGGATCTTCCAGGAAAAACACAAATTTTCTCGATAATGAGAAAGAATATAATACTTCGATAACTGTTTTGCAGTTGGTTGCCATTGCGTATGTGACCTAGCTCTTGAGAAACTGACGTTGGTGATGCTACCTATGGATAGTTGGAGAAAGGTGAGGGTAAACGCCTAGTGAAAGTCACTTGGAATTATGTTTTGCCTTCCATAATTTTATCATATCTGCATTATAAATACCAATTTCATAATGTCGACTGTAACTGTTGTGGAACTGATGTTTGTAATGCTATATTTACTAGGTAAACATAGATAAATTACAAGTATGTGTCAGATGGACACATTCAACCTTCCTGCAACATTCCTCGATAAAGAAAAAGAGTATCATACTTCGATAACTGTGTTGCAGTCGTTGTAGGAGACATTAAAGACAAGAACACCTCCCTCGAGGACCCCTGGACAGAAAGCGTTCGACATGAAGATGTTCTTGTTTTCAGAGGTCGGGAATACAGTGGCTATCTCTTGAGTATTCACTTTGACCACCCAGTCGGCTTTAGTGCAAGTTAGGTTAACCGAGTCTTCCAGTGATCCTGAAACACACACATTCACTGTAGTTATAGCCATATAATTCCACAATTATGGCGACGTTCAATTTTTGACATGATCCTAAGTTTAAAACTCCGATGGAACCTGTCGTCTGCATGTTTACAATCACAAACTTATCACGTGAGGCCGCTGACAAAAGATTTTAATATGGAAAGTTTGCTGGACCATCTCTAAGTTTGAGTTAAATTAGAAATGTGCGATTTAAAAACCTCAAACAAACGTTAGTAATATTGTTTTGACGAATGGTCAACCGACTGACAGAGAGATGACCAACCATATCATTTTCTAAAACCTTAAATATGGCCTGTAAAGCTGTACTTGATAAAGTCGGTGAGAAAGGCTGCACTATTTTTCTGTTCCGTTTCCAATCTTGCGTGATCATATCAGTGGAGAAATAGGAATGACTGTCTGTAGTCGGGCCCTGAACCTATGCTATTCAGGAATTGAGGCAGCGAGTCACACTGGCAAGAGATCAAGGAAGTAGAAAACTCCTTGACAAGTATAACTTGAAAGACAGTCCACGTCGCATCTAAAACGGGTCATCCAAACATGCCATGCCATTTGACGTCGGCAGTCCCAAGTCAAGGACCTCGACCACACTCGGACAGTACTGTAGGAATGACGATGCCCTTTTTTGTTTCACAGGGAAAACGTATCCGTGAGGAGCTAATGTGGAATCGTCTCGGATTCCGGACTGTCGAAGTCCGAAGTTTGTCTTTATTACCTGGAGCACATCTTTCGTCTTACTTACTGACATTCCCATTCTTATTCTTTACAATGGGCATGGTCCCGATTTACCTCTAACATAAATAACCTCAACGCGTGAACAAAATATTCTTCCGATTTTTTGCCCGTACATATATTCCACGTGTTGCAATCCATAGATGTCGGCCGTTTTTCTTAGACTTTAGAGACAAGTCCTCGTGCGCGTCCAAATGCTTTAGCTGTAATAGTTCAGGACCAAGCCATACTCGACTACCTTAATAACTTTATGGGGATAGAGCAAACCTAATACTCAGGGGGTCAACTTTAATGTTTGAGGAATATAACATGTCTACTTACCATCACTGTCACCGCCCACTGGTGTACTGAAATACCCATACATCTCAATATTACCTAAACCAGTGACGAGTACGCCAAAAGGACATGCCGATGAATTGCTTTTAAAGGTGGTGGAACCGGAGCTGGGTTGGAAGCTGGCCATGGCGAATGTCTGGGAATCTGTTGACTGAACTGACCATCTCTCATTGATGTTTATATGTGACGTGCAGTTGGAACTTGTGATGATAGTAACATGACGTGTGTATGACATGGAACTGGTCTGAATGTCTGGTATAAGATAGTTAGTGCCATAGGCATCAGTTGCTGGAACAATCGCCTGAAAAACTTGATAATTTGTTGAGTCGCCGGCTATTTGTAAGACAAGTATGGGATGAGAGCTTCTGATGTATATAGTGGCTGTGTTAGTGATGTCTTCGTCGTAAATCTCTGCTTTATTCAAAATAATAGACTCAACTCTTGTGAATGTGTCAATGGTGATATTGGTACCATTATACCCTGCTGTTATTCGAACGCGGTTTTCTGCCATGTTAGGAACCAGGGGCACAATGAACGACGTCCCCCATGTCTCTATTTGGGGAACTTGACTCATAGCTCCATCACACTGATGAGCATAGCACAAAAGAGGAGAACCAGAGAACACAGCAATTGATTGGCCACTCTCTACAACCGTCCCTCCCAGATCGCAGGTGTCGGAACTTTGTGAAGAAGCAATCTGGAGGACTTCTCCCTGCAGCAGGGTTATACTCAACTGGTTTCCCCTTCCATAGATGTTCCCCCTGAAGGGGTAGGAGCAGGTGGAGTTGAGATGGACAGTGACGTTTGTGTTGTTATAGAAAGCCACCACTCCGAGTAAAGCGTTGTTGGGCACTGATGGTACGATGTATTTGGTAGACAGAGACTTCACTGGAAGGACTGGAAATGCATCGGCTATACCGCCAGAAACAGCTCGTTGCAGGACACTCAGAGTTACTTCAGTTGTGCAAATAAGCGCCACTGCACGATCCCCCTCCACAGCGACACCCAGGGTAAACTTTCTATCTGTCGGTAGATGGAACTGTGTGACACTGTTGTTTCCAATAAGCTGGACATGATAATCTGTCCCGTTACTCTCTGCCACAGTGCATCGGCCTTCCCGCATATGTCCAATAAAAAGGACATTAGCAGTTGCATCTTCATTGACAGTGACATAGCCTGGGAATCGTGCAAAGATGAATTGATTGCCGTTGTACGCTGCTGTACCTAATGTTTGAAAAGGAAAAAGGAAAAGAAAGGAAACCATTAATTGATACAAATACTCTTAATGTGTTATTTGACTGCCCCCAAATTAGAATTTATGTTGATATTTTTACAGTTACAGAGACATCAATTATTCTTCGTCACGTGGTTCCTGGGTCATGTAGTTCCATCACGCCGTCGCAATGGCTATAGCTTTTGCCGTGCAGTATTTGGTTCTACAAGACGGCAACAGACCATGAGACAGCTTGATGTAAACTCTATTAATGATAGAGTATCGAAGCTGTATTATTAATCACAGGTGTTATCAGTGATACTGCTACTCGTTTTCTCACCTATTACTGCTCTTGTGACGACGAACATCCATAATAGCCTGGTGGCAAACATGACTGCCAGCAGTGAAGTGAGGCGCTGGGAAAGTCACTCTGGACTGGTGAGAAGGTTTTCTAAATGTTGACGAGATAAGGAATTTCTGTGGGAGCTGAGAAGGGCCATCTTTATATTGCCATGAGGTTTCCGCACAATATCACAACAAAGTCATAGTACAACACGATATAGCCAGTTCGCGACATTGTGACACAGCCTCAAATGAAATAGCGATAACATCCAATGACAAAACCACAGTCAGTAGCAGCGACGTTGGATTGTCGAGCACAGACCTCACATTTCACATGACAATTCTGGGACAGACATTCGTCATTCGACACTGTTTTGTGTTTTTATATGCTAAATTGTCACGTGTAAGGGCATTAATTTAATATAAAATCACGTTCAAGACTTGATTAATCAAAATCAAAATGAAAAATGTCAACAAAGACTAGGCCTCTAAGGTTTGAAGAGTAGTCTCCCTTGACCATTAACGTAAGCTCACTAAGCTAAGACGATTTGTTTCACTTTCACAACAACATCAGGTTGTTTATCTCAGCAACCTAAAATGTCTGGCAAAAACTTGTAGCACTGTTGAGGAAATCTGTAAGAAAAGGAAAGGCAAAATGTACCTGCTATAACCGCCATGAAGGCACACGAGCGGGCATCTGAAAGAAGTGATCTTTTGCGTACCGGACGGCGAATACTACAAGTCAAGTAATTTGGAAAATTTCAGACAATCTCTACATCTACAACAACAGAGATAGTGATGGTATTGCAACAGTGCCTTCATGTCAAGCTCAGCAGACATGCACAGAAAACCAACATCCAGCGCCACTCATATATGTCCTGCACTGCCCGCACCACTACAAGCTGTGTCCATACAGTCACCATCCAGCGCCACTCATACATGTCCGGCACTGCCCTCACCACTACAAGCTGTGTCCATACAGTCACCATCCAGCGCCACTCACACATGTCCGGCACTGCCCGCACCACTACAAGCTGTGTCCATACAACCAGCATCTAGCGCCACTCATACATGTCTTGCACTGCCCGCACCACTACAAGCTGTGTCCATACAACCAGCATCTAGCGCCACTCATACATGTCTTGCACTGCCCGCACCACTACAAGCTGTGTCCATACAGTCAGCATCCAGCGCCACTCATACATGTCTTGCACTGCCCGCACCACTACAAACTGTGTCCATACAACCAGCATCTAGCGCCACTCATACATGTCTTTCACTGCCCGCACCACTACAAACTGTGTCCATACAACCAGCATCTAGCGCCACTCATACATGTCTTGCACTGCCCGCACCACTACAAGCTGTGTCCATACAACCAGCATCTAGCGCCACTCATACATGTCTTGCACTGCCCGCACCACTACAAGCTGTGTCCATACAGTCAAGCTGTGTCCATACAGTCAGCATCTAGCGCCACTCATACATGTCTTGCACTGCCCGCACCACTACAAACTGTGTCCATACAACCAGCATCTAGCGCCACTCATACATGTCTTGCACTGCCCGCACCACTACAAGCTGTGTCCATACAGTCAGCATCCAGCGCCACTCATACATGTCTTTCACTGCCCGCACCACTACAAACTGTGCCCATACAACCAGCAACCAGAGCCACTCATACATGTCTTTCACTGCCCGCACTACAATCTGTGTCCATACAGTCAGCATCCAGCGCTACTCATACATGTCTTGCACTGCCCGCACCACTACAAGCTGTGTCCATACAGTCAGCATCCAGGGCCACTCATACATGTCTTTCACTGCCCGCACTACAATCTGTGTCCATACAGTCAGCATCCAGCGCTACTCATACATGTCTTGCACTGCCCGCACCACTACAAGCTGTGTCCATACAGTCAGCATCCAGGGCCACTCATACATGTCTTGCACTGCCCGCACCACTACAAACTGTGCCCATACAACCAGCATCCAGCGCCACTCATACATGTCTTTCACTGCCCGCACCACTACAATCTGTGTCCATACAACCAGTATCCAGCGCCACTCATACATGTCCGGCACTGCCCGCACCACTACAAGCTGGGTCCATACAACCAGCATACAGCGCCACTCATACATGTCCGGCACTGCCCGCACCACTACAAGCTGTGCCCAGACAGCCAGCACTGCCTGCACCACTACAATCTGTACCAAGACAGCCAGCACTGCCAACACCACGACAAATACATAATTGCCTTTGTCCACACTTCACCAATTCTCGATATAAGGACTACATCAACAATCTTGAGCCGCCTTTGTTTTCTTGTGGAGTATCTGCCCGGGGAAAAGAAGGTCGTTGGTTCGATACTTGGCCGCGTCATACCAATAGGCGTTAAAAGATGGTACTTGTTGTTACCTTGCCTTGCGCTCGGCATTAAGGGGCTAAAACAAGGATCGGTCGGACCCATGTCAGTATGCTGTGTCTGAGTAGTGTATCCATATACAACTGCGGCATGGTATCTAAATAAAGCGACAAACCCCTTTCCATGTCCAATAGAAATATCAACAACAAGCAGAGTCGACTGCCCGATTCCAACTATATCATGAGCATGTGTTTATGCATTACAAGAAAGTGGTGATGATACCAGGCGTTCGCGAAAAGGTGAATGCCCCATCATGTAACCCGCCTCTAACACATACAAAGCCAAGTCAATTGTTCACCTAACACACAACGACACGGGAATATATGGTACAAGCTAAGTGAGTGAGTGAGTGAGTATGGTTTTACGCCGCTTTTAGCAATATTCCAGCAATATCACGGCGGGGGACACCAGAAATGGGCTTCACACATTGTACCCATGTCGGGAATCGAACCCGGGTCTTCGGCGTGACGAGCCAACGCTTTAACCACTAGGCTACCCGACCGCCCCTTACAAGCTAAGTCAAAATAGGGAATGGCATCGGTCATCGTTTTTGTTACTGATGCGTCGTATTTGGAATTGTCCTCCACATGTCTAACAAGAAGCGTTTTGAAAGCTTTACTAAGGCCTTGAATATTGTAACCTTGATAAAACAGCTTCTGGGCAAGAGTCGAATGACGTACTTTGAAATATTGGTGGAGAGAGCATTCTCGATTATACCTCAAAAGTTGTGAAATGCAGTCACCAAGGGCTAGAGCTGCAGGAATATTACTGGACATAAAGGAAAAGTTGACTATTGTAAAGTTGGAGTCATCCTTCTTATAATACGGTTTTGTGGGGAGTGTTTTGTCACTCTGAATCTTTATATATAATAGATCTAAATATGAAACAGATGAGGCATTCTCACTGGTCTTCTTTTATTTCTAGTTCAGGTGGCTAAATCAGAGTAAGGAATTGGCTATTTGACGGTTATTAAACGATATCGCTGATGCCTGAAGCCTGAAGCTTAAGTTACATTTCTTGGCTTTATAACCTTGTTTTGACTTTGCTATTCACAACAGGAATTCCGATTCATATGCATAAAGAAACAGACCAACATGACATTTTTGACAAATTGACCTGATCCTACGAAGATAGATATGTAACTATATCTATGGTCATCACGTTTTGTTACAAAATCCCCATGGATCATGAAATTAAGTTTTCCTAAATTTTGCCATGTGGGATAGTGGTGTACAAGATGAAAAAACAAATGTTTTCACAGAATTGAACCCGGTTCTTTAATTATATTAAAAGATGGTACTTGTTGTTTCGGATTACAATCGTGACTATGTCATGACAGATTCTGCTGTATCAATGTCCTGTGGATCGGGAAGCTGATGTGATGAACGAGCATGAATTGTTCATCGCCGTTTCTTGTCAATTGAGGCCAGATTGCGTCCGGATCTTGCCGAATGCGAACCATCTTTGGTGGGTCACTGTCCGGTCACTGTCAGATCGCATTTGGGAGAATCGGGACGCTGTCGGGACAGATTCGATCGTTTTTTACCATTTCCATGAAGAGACAAATCGGATCAGATTCGCATTGAGAACGGGAGAATCGGGACAAATTCGGCTGGAAACGGCTGAATCAGGACGCTTCCTGAACAATATTTGTAAATTTCCCGCCACGAATCACAGGATCTTGATCAGACTTTTGACAAATTTTAATCGGGAATGGTCCCGCGAGGTGATGCGAAAAGGACGGCAGTAAAAATCTTGAATGTGTGCATATATATAAAATCAAGGACTGGTCGGCTCGAGTTAATATACTGTTTGAAAGTGGGATATCTATGTAAAACTGCGGCAATTTGCGGCAAACATGTGTACTCTTAACAGTGACAAAGGAAGGGGCATGATCACATTTGATGCTCCTGCCTTTGACACGATATCAGCATGGATGGCTCGTGGCGATACTTCATGACCGCGCGATAGTCACTTTTTGTCCATTTTCGACAACAGAGAATCCACAGTTACTTTGATGACTGCAGGAATATGTTGACTGGTTTTGAATTCGTTTCAAATGTCGCCTGTAAGCATGGGAAGTATTGTACTACATGCAGACTGTGAAGGGTATACTAAACATCCTTTGTAGTTCGGCTCGGAACTTTTCAGCCTTAACATTCCAAGTCGTTTGTTCATTGTCAGATGTATTCGTGAATAAACATTACATGGGATTTACAGGGGAAATGTTCCTGAGACCCACTGAACCTTTTTACGGTTATACTGAAGCAAAGGAACAAGCTCAATATGGAGTGCATTCGACGATAAATATTTGAAACCACACAGCAATAACAACATGTATCACGGAGGGAAAGATCATGTATTCATGTGACATAACTTGTAATCAACAGTGCGCAGCAACAAGTTTGAGCCCGACAGCTCCTCTATTGTTGCGACAATGTCACCTCGAACTCAGTGGTGTTGTTTTACTGTTTCAGGCTTAATTCTAACATCTTGACAATAATTACAATGAAATACGTAGTATGACATAAACATAAGAATATAAGGGAAAAATAATGTTTTTTACCATGAAACAAGAGAGAAGAGTACAGCAGTTACTGTTAGTGTGTAAAAATTAAATATAGTATCTAAAAATAGATAAGCTGTGATACACAACAAAAGCAACGAAAAATGTCGTGAAAACCTTTGAAATTGCTCTCAAGCAGGTTCGCTTTAAATTGAGGTATCCCTTTCGTTGTGAACTACATC